TCTCTGGCTAGCATAGCTACCTATGACTCTTGATATCTCCGTAAGGGAAAAACAGGCAACATTTCTTTTGAGCATATTGCAGTCATGGAAAAATTATCATCTTACACAATTGTAGAGTATCATTTTGGATCTTCTGATGGGGCTTGGTGTTATCTAACTAGGTTGTAATTTTTGCTAGGATATGAACTACTCTCAGGCTAAAAGTAGCTCATTCTTTCCCCAAACCTCACAGTATATTCCACCAATGTTTACTTTTATGACAACAACAGCTGTACTGTGTTAGTCCAGCAGGCCAAAAGTAGAAACGGAGATGGCTTTCATTACTTTCTGCCTGCTACCAGTACTTAATATATGTATCAAGCCTTTAGAGAATACTCCTATAGGAGAGAGAGCTGGGAATGGCTTTTGTAGCACGTACTTGCAACTACATGCAAGGTGCAAGGTGGTAAAGAGGTGATCCAAAGGTTAAAGACATCAGGTTAGTTCTTGATCCAGAAGTGAAGATATGTATATACTTAAATGTCTTTGCTTTTTTGTCTTTTGGGCAAAAAAATCCATGAGGAGACTCTGTCCTTCTCCACAGGGAAACTCTTAACAGAAACCAGAGGCAGTACTCCCATTTAAGTTAATGAGAGGAGAATTAGGGCTTTTAATTTGCAGAGCTGTGGGCAAGGAATTTTGTACACAGAAATAGAGGTGCTTTCTCACACCAATAGCTCTGTGTCACTGTTGTAACCCAGATGAAGCCAGATGCCGAACTCTGTCTCAGTACTGTCACTTCAGAGCAGTCTCCTTGGCCTTTGTCTGGATTTCTATCTGGGTGACCAGAGCAGGTCTTGGAACAAACCATAGGCATTACAGTGATTGCTGTGGACAAGGACAAGTGTTCCTGCTTTAGTTCAGAAGGGCAATTTGAAAGTGCTGCATATTGCACCAGAATATGGATTTCTATCAAAATTAAAATATTTGACAAAGTGGATAGCCTCTGTAGAAATTTTATTTCTGAAGAAATCCAGAGAAAGAAGAGAGTTAAAATCAAGTTTCTAACTTTTGGATATTAAATTTTTTGTTTTCTTTTCCTTCTTTTAAACTGTTTCTTACTTGCTTGTATGTTGTTGTACATTTTCCATGTAGTAGAATAGCATGTTTTTAAGTTACGATGAAGGATTGAACCAGACCATTCCAAATGACCTCTGACACACAGGTATTTACACACTTACCCTCAGATTTAAACTGATGTTACTTTTTAAAATCCTTAAAATCCTTTGTGACATGGAACTTCCCTTCCCAGTCCAGGGCAGGCGGTGGCCCTTGCTGGGGCTCTGAACTGGAGCAGCAGTGACGTAAACCACAAATGAACAGAAGACAATTGTTAAGTATATTCAAAATCACTGAATGGGGATGTGTGAGACTTTCCAAAAGGTTTGCAAAGAATAGCAAATCTGTCTCCTCTCTAGCAATACTGACTGTTGTCTCATCCCTGAGATTAACATCAAAATTATTAATTGTTCAAGCTTGGATAGATTCGGACTTTTCCTGGCTATTTTTGTGTTTTATTGTTCAATGTTGCTATTCAGGACAGTTGATAGCACTTCAGAATCTGTTTGTTTATTCATACTTTGTTTGAAAAATGGAAATATAACATTCCAGAGCTGCTATTTACTACAACAATGCAAATTTAAACTGTTAAAACCACAATAGCTTTTATAAATAATGGGAAAGGAGAGGTAAATGAAAAAGCTTTCATACAAAATGAAATAAAAAATCAAAAAAGTGCACAAGAACAAGTGAATTGCACATGTTGCAGTAAAAAAGGACTACAGTAACCTGGTCATGAAATATTCCTAGAACATTTCACATAAAGTCATAATCTCTGAAGGAGTCTATCTATCACACTCAGTGAAAACAAGCCACTTTACATTGCACTAGAACTACTGATCTGCTTACAAAGCCTGGTTTGTCTGGGTTTTGGAGTATTTATCTTTTCACAGTAACTTCTAGATAGATGCATTAAATGCACGTTGAATTTGTGCAGATTCAGTATTGCGCACAAAATATTGTGTCAATGACTGGAGTGGAGAGGTAGTGGGCTCCATTTCAGTGCAAATAAATGTAAACTGTGTGAAGATTTGCTGTAAGGGTCAAGCAGAAAGGACTTAAAAACATTGTAATTACCAGATTACCCCTCTGATAGACTCTTCCCTCATCAGTTTCTGTGCGCTTTGTGCACTTAATCCTGCCCACAGTTGCAGTACGTTCCCATCAGACCAGTGCTCTCCAGCTCAGTGACTCTCCTGCTCAGGACTAATGGTTGAGAGCAACCACGACATGGGTCACCTAATAGAGATGAAGGTCTCTTGGTTGAAAAAAGAAATTGACTTTCCATATTTGCTCCACTCAAACCCAATTTCAGCTTCTCCAAGGACCTAAAAAGAAACTGCAGCTCACGAGACTTTTGCATATGTAACAATGTCGGCTCAGGGGAAATTCCCAATTTGGGATAGCTCATGAAATCTCACACCTGTGGCTATACATGCAGTTGGTGATCTTGAATCCTATCAGCCAGTGGTCTCCAGGACTGTCATTGCACACCAAATAAGCAAACCTTAAGTAAATGGTCTCCACCAAGCTGTGTCTGTATTCATCACCCTCTACAACTCTGCTCTGTTACACTCATTTAATTTCAAGGAATTTTCTTCTGATTTATATGAATATGAGTAAGACCCAGACCTTCACTGCTCAGCCCCATAAAGTCAGAGATGTACAAACTCCACAGGTGTTCGGCAAAACTGGTTTTGGATTTCCTGTTCCCCATCCCTTTCCCTCCACCCAGTATTTTTCCAGCCTGAAGCAATTCCCTGTTCACACTGCAGGAGACAAGGGGGTAGATCCTAAACGGGTAGTAATGGAAGTCACTGGATGAAATTTCAGCAGTAGAGGAATCTCACCTGACATTCCAAAGCTTTGCAAGAAGATCACTATTCAGTGTGAATTGAAACTCTGTTGGTTTTTCAACTTCTTTTGCATTTGGGAAGGGGACAGCTATGGACAGAATGCCCATAGCTGCAACCAATTCTTCTGCTCATATCCTGTACCACAAGTGCCAAACACATTTCACACAAAGCCATCATAGAATCTGAACTTGTGTACCCAGACAGACTTGTATGTATGCAACACACTTTTAGTCCTGTGTTAAGGTATAAAACTCCACACAAACGAAACTTGGTGCAATGCATTTCCCTACTTACATCTGATTCCACGGATGGTATGCAGGCCAATAAAGAAAATCAGATCTGTCAGGTGTCTGGTGGGGAATCCAAACAAATCATAGCACACAGCTCCTTTGTTACCTAAGGTAAGGATGAGTGTGTTTCTAGCATAAGATCTGCAAAGATGTAGTTCCAAATTCAGGTTCTTCCATCCTTACTTAGGTGCCTAGTCAGGAATGAGGCACTCATCAAATCAGTTCAGCAAGTCACACCTGTCAACTGAGCTGTAGTCACTGCCAATGGGCTCCTCGGCCTGCCCAGCTGTGAGGGAATGTGACTTGTTAAAAACTTCAATAAAAGAATTTCACGGACAATTATCATGGTTCAGCTGATAGATGGTAACTTGTTAAGCTGCCATAAATCAGTTGTGGATCTGAGCTGTAAATAGGTGACCTAATTTTCAAAGAAGCTGAGATAATAAGTTTCATCAGTGTCAAAGGGAGCTAATAGACACTTCAAACTTCGCAAGTCAGGAAATTCAGGGCTAAATCCTAAGTCTTTTATTCTGCCTTTTATTCTGACACCAAATGTGGTTCCATTGGTTTAAGTGGAACTGTACCTGGCTTGAGCAACTTGGCATTGTTTAGGCACCTGAATAAGGATTTGGAAGCCTAATTCTGGGTATTTGTTTTCATAAATCTCAAAGTCTGACTTTCATAATTTTGAAATAATCTCTTTTTGTTCCAGTGATGGCATTGTTATAGCCACAGAGGTCCAGGGAGGTAAGAGAGGCTGGGTTTTGCAGGGACAAGATCTTCTAGGAGGGGAACAGATAAAGTTGGTTTAGCAGTGTTGCGTCACGCTATGTACCTCGCCTCTCTCCTTCAAGTCACTTTCTGTTTCTGCTCCTCTAGGGCTTTGTTCTGTTCTGACACCAGCTCCATGACAGAGTAAAGCTACTGTTTACAGTGCAGCTACTTCTAATTTACACACAAAAGAAAAAGAGTTCAGAGTTGCTTTCAAATCCCCAGTCCAGGAAATTATCTCAAGCAGAATTTCACCTGCTTCTTATCGCAAATGTAATACAAAATGAACTGTATTCACTATGTGCAAATACAATTCTTACATCCTTCAGAAATAAACCTTTCCTTGACTTTTAAAAGAACCAGCATTTCTGGATTTCAGTCTATTAAAAAGTTCTGAGATTTGAATGTTCAGAAATCAATTACTCAATAAGAAATGTCCAAAAAATGAAAGTAAAAGTGTTAGCAAGATGGTGTCAAAGTATCAGAGAATTAGCAACCAGCACACTCAGTAGAAATCCAAACAGCAGAATGGAAACCAACATAAAAATCTCAGTCAGTGAAGGAAATGTGATTGTTTTCCCGAATATGTTGACTCTTGACAATTTCTGAATTGTGATCACAGCAAGGATGCTAAGCTCCACCACAACCCCAGGACACCTTTGAATTCCTCACTGATACTTGCTTCAGCACTACTCATTTTTCAGTGTTGGCTTTCATTTCTTGTTCTTTGCAGACCAAGCTCTGAGGTGAATCATATGTGTTTTCTCTTGGAAAACCTAACAACAACTGTCCTATGTTTAGCTGTCTCCTCCATTTTCTTCTCACTCATGCTTCAGAAGCATATTTCTCTTAGATTAAAAATGTCAAGAGGGCGCTTGACCAAGCCAGCAGCAATTCTCCCCATCATGCATGATGTGTGCCCTCGCCATGCTGATGACGCTGGGTGCCATGCCAGGAAGCCGCTGCATGTCCAGTGTGCCTGGGGTCACTGTGTGTAATCATGTTGTAAGTATCGAATCAGTCTGTCTGGGAGAGGTAAGGTGTCAAGAAGTTTAATGCGGTTTCTTCCAACCAGGCTTCGTACCTTGATGCGGCAAAGATGGGAAAGAGATCGTGGGGGCTCTGAAAGACAGGCAGGTCAAAAACATGAGCAGAACAGGTTTAAACTTGAGAGGCACAGCTCGGTTTGGCCAGGTCAGTGGCAAGAGGAAAATGGGAGAAGGAAGAATGAAAAAAAAAGGATGCTTTTCTATAACGGAGGGATGATGCCTCTGGCATTGGTGGCAGCTCATCTGTTCTGAGGCATAACACAGGGAAGGAAGTGGGGCTGGAGGATGGGGTGCTGTATCCCATCTCAGCCTTAGCATTGGGCTTTCCAGGAGGATTTAAACAAGCTGCTTCACAGCACTCAGCCTTCCCACTGAAAATAAATTTAATATGTACCAAATTTAGCTTGGTGGCAGAAAACTAATTCTGATAATGCCTATGAAAGACTTTGGATCCTGAGGGAAAGGATATTTAGGAGAGTAGAATATTAGTAAAGGCTTTAAAGGCCACTGGTGCCTTCTGGGCTGCTGTGGAGATGGTCATGCTGCCCACCTGCCCTGGTCTGACTGCACCCCAGGTGCAGCCAAATGGGCCTTCCTGCACTGGCAGTGCTCACCCCCAGTGGGTCAGATCCACAGGTGGTGTACATTTAACATCACAGAGTCAGTGACACCCCAGCAATTTCTAGTGCCTCATACCTGATCCAAAATGTAATTCAGTCTCAGTAGGGAAATCCTATCAGGTTTAAGGGATGAATATTAAGAGGAGATGGTGACTGAGGTTTTGAATCCAACAGCAGGACTATTTGTGCCAGATTGTCTCCTGATTGACCATACCTGCTTTTTCTTTAATGACAGCCCAGTCCTCATAGCTGTCGATATGCTCCTTGAGCCGGGAACAGAGCTGCACATTACCCACATAATCCAGGAGAACATCGATGATTGGCCCGGCCCAGCGACTAATCTCTGGAGCGGACACCATTTCACAAAACTTCAAGGAAAAACAGATTGATGACAGTCAGTGGAACATGAATGCACCTGTGGAAACTGCAATAGCAACAGCCTGGACAGCTTTGGCAGTCCCACCCTTCTACCAGCTGTGAGGGCAATTATCAGTTTCCCTTCAGAAAACTTCAACTAAAGCCTCTTTTTTTTTTTGCAACTGAGGGTAGATTCTGCTCTTTACAACTGCAGGAGGACACAAACCCGTGGTGAAGTCCTAGCTCTGGAGCATGGAAAGGATGCTGAATTATTTACAGAGTCCAAAGGTCCTACTTCTGCAGAAATGGGAGGGCAGATGAGCTTTGTCCCAAGCCAGTGAGGGAGCTGCTGAAAGGTCTGTGCAGCCCAGGGCACTGTGACCCAGCATGCTGGATCCCTTTGCCTTCTTGGGAGGGGCTTTGCAGGGCAACTGTGCACAAAGGAGGCTTGGGGAAAGATGGAGATTTGGCAGAGCACAGCACTTCTTGCTTCTTATGAACCCACTAGTATCTGCAGCTTTTGGGGACCAAACACCTTACTAGAAGCAAGTCTGGGGAAATCTCTGCACAGATGACTCTCAGGCAGTTTTACTGGCTCATGGCAGAACTATTCTGGGCCTAATACAGAGGCATCTTCCTTAGTCCTGGATCAGATAAATTTTCTGTTGCCCCTAGCGTGAGCTGCACAGTACTCAGAGCTGTTGCATGGAGGGCTGCTTATGAGATACTGAAGAACATACTTAAGAACCTGACTTTAAGCAGTCTCATTTCAAAAAAGTAGTGACTTCTCTGCCCACTTCAGTCTAAACAGGTATATTATACCAGACAGCTTCATTTATCTCTGTTAGGGTGCTGCATATAATGAAGATATCTGTGGCCTTATCTGCATGTGAGCAGTCAGAAAGTTTAACATGAATTAAATCACGCTGTGTAGGTAAGAACTCAGGCATGTGGCTGAACCCAATTGAATGACGGTGCCTTAAGCACTGTCCGTCAGCTCAATCACTGAGACTGTCTGCAAGCACCCTCCAAGCCCACCCCAAACAAGAAAGAAAATGCACCAGCTTAAACCTCTTCCAGTTTAAGCTCCTGTAACTAGATCAAATTTGATTATATATGCATGAGACCTAACTCAAGATGCATTAAACTCTTGTGTGGATACTCTTATTCAGAAATAAATTTATATGAGATCATCTAGGAAAGAATAAAGCTGCAGAAAATTATAAGGCCATTTTATTCAAAGAAAGAGCATTCACAGAGGTGTTTACTACTCTTCTGATGTTTTTTTTCACCAAGTATCACCATGTAGTGTTTACTAGGAAAATTAGATACAGCAATGTCGGTAGGATCCCAGTGGACAACCCACAGTTTCCTAACTGGACCACTTATAGGAAGTTCAGTTTAGTGTATCTGGCTGTCATTCTCCAGGCCCTATGCCACTGCCACGCACAGGATGTGTGCCTGTGCCACGCATACCCATAGGATGTGCAAACTGGGGATCTGGACTACCACCTCCAAGCAGTAACTCCACTTTGTCAGTGTTTAAATGAGGACACATGTGTAGGGCAATAAAACATTGGATCTTACTCCTGTCCTCTTCTTGACCCTACCAGAGACCTTGTTTGCCTTTTTCTCTCTTCCCTATTCACAAGCTCAGTCTACAAAAACATTTTCTGGAATAAAACGTTCTAAAACATGTTGCAGGAAAAGAAGCACAGCAAAACGACGCGGAGGAATGCAAACCTGCAACTAGAGGCAATGGGACTGACTGAGGGACAAAGTGACCCTGAGCCTGCACTCTCGGCAGGCCCCCGAATGCCCTCTCGCGGCAGTGGGATACTTCACTCCTCACCCCCACGGTTTTGACAATGCAATTCTGGAAATGTGCAGAAAGACAGCAACCATTTTTCTGCATTCACTTTCTCCAGGACACATTAATTTAGTAGTGACAGTAGTGATTTATAATTATGCATTTTTCAAATCCACTTTCACTAGCTCATAGTCTTTACTGTATAAAGACTAATCATTGAAATTTATTTTCCTTATGTAATCTTATACAAGAAAATAAAAAATGCACATCTTTCATATGGAGAAGGCTATAGTTTCATAAGATCCTCTAAATTTCAGCACACAAACCATATTACAACTATATCATGAAGCTACACCCCACAAGCCTTACTTTTATTAGCCAAATTCCTAGCAGTAAGAAGCAAATTTAAAATAATATTGAAGGGAAGGGATTACTTTTTCTCCATATGCATTCGTCCCTCACTGGTCTCTCTCTAGGCACAGATATAATTTTATACATCTTTTGCTACCTCTGCCTCACGTGGTCTGACTTTTGAGTTGATGACTCTGTTTGTGAGTGACCTAATGTTTTGTTAGGCACTAAAAGTAGTTTTAGGTGAGATCCAGAGGGAAATAATGTGCTTAAATAAGTCAGAACAGTTTTTGAGCAGCTAGGATACTATAGAGGGCTACAGACAAACCCTCCCTCCTTGCCTTGGAATTCCAGTCCTATGTTCACGATTCAAGAACTAGAGATGACATATTTTATTAATTTTTCTTTGACAAAAATGTGGTATTCTGGATCAATTTTGCTGTGACAAACACTCTTAAGGAGAAGTCAGCTCTGTTTTGAGGTTAGAGATTATTTTGATGGACTCTTACAATCCTCCTTCTAAGACTTCTTTTGGTTTGTTTGTTTGTTTCCCAGACATGTTACCGGAGAGTAAAGTCTTTTAGAAGAGAGGACTCATAAAAAGGTCAAGATTTCCTAGGATCTTTTAATGTTTTCTTTTATTCTTTCCACCACCAAGGAACATTTATTGGTGATCATCTCTTTGGGCTAAATGACACTTTCTTTTGAATCCCTCAAAGCTACACTTAAACTGGATAGAAGCTGATATATTTTTTCCCTGATTTTTTGCAAAATAAAAAGACTGCTGAGATTTCTTTGTTGTGTTGCATGTTGAAGGGTAGCAAATTTTGATTGGAGGGTCAGATTTTGTTTGAGATATATTGGAATGAGTCAATGTTCAGAGACCAGAAAAAAATGTATAATCTGAGATTCTGCAAAGTTCTTTAAGGGACTGAGAGTTCCATTCCAGCCCAATGGAAGCTGAGCCCAGCTGTGCTTTGGAAAGGACTGCAAAAATATACATGTAAAATGTGGATATCTAAAATCTGTAAGTGGCTTTGAAAATATGGAATCATGGATGTAAATCTCTTAATCTCTTTTGAAAACTTCAAATATAATGCAGAGTCATATAGCTAATGTAACGATTTATGCTCTCTCTCCAGGGCTGTTTATCCAGTAGACTCAGAAATTGCATTCACTAGTTCACTTTCATAAAGTGAATCACTAGACAATTTTAATTTAACCAGGAGCTTAAATTCTGTATCAGACAGAAAAAATCTTACAGGGCAAATGAAACAAGCAGGTTTCTACTGCCCATATGCTACTGCCCATATGCTAGACTGCCTGTCAAGAAAACATGCTTCACTCCTGGCACCTCAGGTCCAGAGCAAAAGAATATTGTAGATCTGACAGCAAGGCTGTCAAGGTAGCTATAATTCACTGCAAATTCAAGCTAGGGCCACAGCGGCTATTGCATACCATCCTGCTGTCATTGAACATGGACTTAGAATATTCACAGACCCTTATTGAGCCTTTTTTTTTCCTGTAAATAAAGTAGGAATAAAGGTATCTTCTCTCACAGGAAAGTTGGGAGGAAAAATACATTAAGGTTGTGAAGATACATGGGTAAGAGGCAACCTCAGAAGTACTAGGCAGTGCTTACCTGTACTACGGTTGGCTCCTTGGACAGCTGAGGATCATTAAGTCTGTCTCGACTGTAATTTAATGCAGGGTGTGGGCTGTTTCCGTATGGACAGTGAAAACAGGAAACTGCATCACAGCCCAGATCCAGGAGATACTTCAGCAAGGAAAGGTACTTCATCGAAAACATGATAGTAGCTGGAAATGCGGTGGGATGGCTTGATATATAGGCATCAATGTTTGCTCCATGGTCAAGGAGCAGTTTCATGGTCTTCAGGCAGCCATGGCGGATGGAGATGAGTAATGGGTTGATGAGGTCAACATTGGGATTGGCTCCAGCTTGCAGCAGGAGCTCTGTGGCATAGATATTGTTGTTAAAAACAGCAAAATAGAGGGGGGTGGTGCGTCTGTCCTCATAAAGGCAGGACCGTTCATTGGAGAGGGTGGTGTTGACTTCGTAGCCAGCATCAATCAGCTCTTCCAAGATGTCATCATTGTTGCGTTCGGCTGCTAGGTGCAGGGGGCTGATGCCACTACGCTTGACGCGGGTGCGGCTGGTCACAGGGATCAGCATGGAGACAATCCTGCCGGATGGAGAGTCAGTGAACAGCAGTTAATCTAGGGGATCTAGGGGATCTACAACCATATAGCAAATAGTAGCTGTATGGTTGTCAACATAAGAGAGAGCCTGCTAACTTCGGCACAGAAACAACTCTCTCTGAGAGAAATCAGGGTATGAACTTGAAACCTGTCAACAACTCCCTGTGCTCCTACCTTGCCAATAATGTGAGTTGTGTGATCCCCTTTTTCATGACCGAACAAGGTTTTTTAAATTATAACTCAGTTTCTATGAGGTAATGGCAGCTATGATGGAAGAGATGACGTGCTGGCACCTCATCTACCCTGTTGGAACTCTCTTAGTTGCCACAGCTCAAATGGCAGACATCCAGCTGGGGTCTTGCAAACATTCTGCACCTTCATCATCACGCTGTGGGTAGGACTGGAGGAACAGGCGCACAGCCTTCAGCCTGAGATGCTGGCAGAGAGGCTGCCTCTCCCCATCTCCATCAGGACTGCTTTATTGCTCAGCAAAGAAGGGCACCAGCACAAGGTATTGGTAGGTCTTGTGGGTCACAGCCACAGCAAGAGGCTTGAGACCAGGAATGGGATGAAACCAAACCTTCCTCTGCAGGACTGAGCTAGGCTAAACTACATATTTGGTTTCCAGACCTCCCCGTCAGATTTTACAATTCAGTTATTACCCTGGATTGATCCCCGTCCTGAAGGCCCTCACTGTGTGGCTTTTGGCTGTGGCAAATCCATGGGGCCATCAATGTCCCAAATCATGGGGAGCCAAAAAGACAAATAGGAAAGGGGCAAAAAAGAAATAAAAATATTTTCCAGGCTGGTTTCCATGCTTTAGCCCAGAGAGTAAAAATGTACAGCGAAGTCCTAAACCCCACTAATCAGGGATTGCTACTGGAAAGTGTGATGTGGCCTTAAATACAGCTACATAAATCAAGCTGCTCTTGTTACATCATGTGAAGTTCAAATATGTGATGTACAGGAGCCCCACAGTCACAGATCCGCGATCCTTTTATGTCTCCATGGGCATCAGTGGAGCTGCATGACCAGCCCCATTGGTCAAACCACAAAGCTGCGTGGTTTAGCCAAGGCACTAGGTTGATTCTGTAAATACAGACAAGCTACTTTAAGCTACTTCCAGAAAGACATTAGGGACTGTCCAACCTGAGTCTGCCTACTGTCTCAGGAGATGCCCATGCTCCCTATATAGTGCCTGTGGAGAGAGGGATATCTAAAAAATGAAATTGTGGGACCCAGCAAGCTAAGCGCACCTTGTGCTGCCATGCAGACTCCTCTATCTGGCAGTCAACAGCTCTTCTAACACACAAACATGCAAAGCTCGGTTTCCCACCATGTAGTCTGTCTCCTTCAAAATGCTGCATATCTTCAGCTTGACTACAGTGCCTGGTCCCAACACTGGGCCCTCAAACATATATTTACATAATGAACTAAGCCAAATATAAGCACTAATCTCAGGAAAACCTTTGTCTGTGATGCACTGAATGATCCTGTGAAAGACTGAGCCTCCAACGCTCCTAGGAGCTGAAACAGGAGTTGAAGATGCATAATGCTTTACAGGATTATGTTCCTATTTACATGATGGACTGTCGGTGTCTCCAAGTTACTTCTACATCTCATTTTTAAACAAAAAGGCTTTTAAAATTATGTAAATATCATTGGAAATTAAGCACTTCTTTGGTTTTTGCTCTAAGCAGCCTCATTAATCTTCCAGTGCTGTGATGCTCACCAGAGAGCAGGAGGTTTGGGTGCTGTTGAGCTGGCAAATTACCACCATTAGCAAACGTTCTGTAAGAGCCATAATAACAAAAAGGGCACGGAGCACTGCGAGGATACCTGTATTGGGTTTGTGTGGCAAGGTTTTGGTAGTGGGGGGGTTACAGGGGTGGCTTCTGTGAGAAGCTGCTGGAAGCTTCCCATATGTCCGATGGAGCCAATGCCAGCTGGCTCCAAGATGGACCTGCCACTGGCCAAGGCTGAGCCCATCAGCAATGGGGGTAGTGCCTTAGGGGCAACAGAGTTAAAAAGGGGGCAAGAGTTACTGTGCAAGAGCAATTGCAGCTGGAGAAGAGAGGAGTGAGAATATGTGAGAGCAACAGCCCTGCAGCGGCGGGGGGAGGGGGTGCTGCAGGCCACGAGCAGAGATTCCCTGCCAGCCCCTGGTGCAGCCCACGGTGAGGCCGGCTGTCCCACGGCAGCCCAGGGAGGCCCACGCTGGAGCAGATCCCCACCTGCAGCCCGGGGAGGACCCCACGCCGGAGCAGGGGGATGCCCAAAGGAGGCTGGGACCCCGTGGGAAGCCCACGCTGGAGCAGGCTCCTGGCAGGATCTGTGGCCCCATGGAGAGAGGAGCCCAGGCTGGAGCAGGTTTGCTGGCCGGGCTTGTGACCCTGCAGAGGATCCACGCTGGAGCAGTCTGTGCCTGAAGGGCTGCACCCTGGGGAAGGGACCCACGATGGAGCAGTGTGTGAAGAACTGCAGCCCATGGGAGGGACCCCAGGCTGGGGCAGGGGCAGATTGTGAGGAGCCCTCCCCCTACGGAGGAAGGAGTGGCAGAGACAACGCGTGATGAACTGACCCCAACCCCCATTCCCCATCCTCCTTTGCTGCTGAGAAGGAGGAGGTAGAGAACTTGGGAGTGAAGTTAAGCCCAAGAAGAAGGGAGGGGTGGGGGAAAGGTGTTTTAAGATTTAGTTTTTATTTCCCATTATCCTACTCTGATTTGATTGGTAATAAATTAAACTAATTTCCCCAAGTTGAGTCTGTTTTGCCCATGACAGTAATTGGTGAGTGATCTCTCCCTGACTTATCTCGACTCACGAGCCTTTCATTCTATTTTCTCTCCCTTGTCCAGCTGAGGAGGGGAGTGATAGAGTGGCTTTGGTGGGCACCTGGCATCCAGCCAGGGTCAACCCCCTACAGCACCATGCCAAGTTCCAGCATTAGTCAACCCACCATCAACTGTTTTGAAGACTTAAGGTTCTGTTTTGTTCTTTCCCTCCACCATATGTGCTTCAGCCAGCTCTTCACATCTGAGTTAAAGAGGCACTGTGTCACTTCTGTCTGCAAAGGAGGCCTGAACTTTGCTGCACAGGTGTTGCACTGAGGCTCTGCATCCAAATGCTGCCATGTCCCAGACCTCAGTACACTCCCTGTACCCCAGCTTTATTCTGAGAGGAAAAGCAGGAAGCATCAAATTTATATCAGAGTTTAATTTTGTAGCTTGAACCTGTCTCTCTCCCCCATCCTCCAAAGTGGGTTGGTTCAGTAATATGGTGCCGCCACCACTGCAGTCTTGTCTGTCTGTCTAGAGGGAGAAAGCAGCTCAGGTGAAAGCAGACAAGGCCAGACCACATCCCACATCTGTCACAGGTCTGAGCTTCATGCACAGTTTTGAAATAGCGCCAAGTTTCCCCTTATCCCTGACACTTGCTTCTATGATTTCTATTTGTTAGAAATTATATGGAGGAGGAGGCAGAGCATCCTTAGTATGAGTGTGCCAAGAATTTCTTGACTTGCATTTACTTAATAAATCTGCCCACACTTCACAAAGTCTTCCCGTCTCAGCATCTCGGTTCTGAGGGGGAAGGAGTTAAACAACTGTTTGTGATTGTGCTACAGCTGATGAGATGACCCTTATGAATTTCAGGTCAGTATTGACAAGGTGTCATTTAAAATAAACAAACACCAAGCAACAAGAGTTGACAGTTGAGCCTTGGGACCTCATTCTTGGCTTTTTGATGGTAGGGAGCCTTCGTGCTCTGGCAAAAAGTTGAAGCATAGAATTACGTATTAAATTTGCAGGAATACAAAGAGAGGTCACCGTGAAGGGTGTTATTTTACTGAATGCCAAAGGAATTAAGAATGATCAGCCAATTGGACTAAAGCTTTGTCATTTAGATAAATATTTATAAGAGAAGATATTTTTCTTTTTTCTTTCTTTTGCATTTGGTTTGCAGCAATTGTGCACAAAAATTTGTGCTCAGTCTTTTACAAGTGAAGGAACTCAGAGTTTGGGCTGAATTCTGGTCTCATTTATGCTGCTGGGTGTTGGGAATAATAGACATGAGATCTGAATCAGACCCTTTCTTTCATAACATGGGGATGGAATCAGATTGCAGAATTTCCATGTAAATTTCTTTTCAAGTCAGGGTGTGGAACTATTGAGGGGAGGAAAAGATTCAGAGAGCTGGTCCAGACTCTGTACACAAATTGGATTCAGATCAACTTACTGGGTTTTCAGATGAACTTTTTTGAAAGTGAACAACTGGAGCTGGGTTCTGTCTCTGGCACATTTCTCATCTAAAACAAGTTTGTTTTCAAGAAAATGTCTTTGTAACTCAAACCCCAGAGAAAATTTTGAATCATGCCTGCATTAGTCTGTGCAGGGTATCCATGCACATGCTGTAAGCGTATAAAGCCGTTACATAAATTCACACTGGTCTGCCCTCTAGAATACACAGCTTGCACAAAGAAGCAAGCCTGCTCCAGTTACAGAAAATAAAAATCCTCAGGTCTATCAAAGTGATTTGAGATGCTTAATTGGGATTCCCAAGCAGACCTGAGCACTAGGATAAAAGGTACTATGGGAAGGTGTAGTGCTGTAAAAAGTTTTAATTTCTCAGACATTGTGAAATATGTAAGAATCCATTCTAGCAGTTGTCTGCAAAGATAGCTTTGCTGTCCAGAAACAGTCTTTGCAGTTGGATATACTCTCTCTTTTAACTCTTGCTGGAAGGATTTTGATAGGAACTGTGATAGTCACAAGAGTCCACAACAGTCACCAAAAGGGTCTGCCACTGCAAGGTGTGACTGTGGTTTTGCAAAAATAGCTGTGGGCCACTCACCCTTCCAGCAGCAAGGGGTTAAAGACAGGAACTAAAACTTGCCCTAGAATCAGAAGTAAATGCTAAGGAGTTCAGGCTCATAAGCATGCCTCAAAGTCCCAGGTCTTGAAAGAGCTAGGTAAACACTATTTACATGACAGTGCAACAATCCCATCCCTAGACAGCATCTTCTAAATTGATATCCTTTCTCATAGGCTGTAGAGTTTCTCCCCCTCCTATAAACACCTCTGCTTCAGAGTACTGGTAAATCTACCCAATTCCTGGTTGTTTTTTCCATTACTTACTTTTATCACTGTGTAAAGAGTGTGCTCAGCTCTATCCCTAACACATTTCATTTCAGAAACAAACCACTGGAGCGTTTTATGCTTTTTATCTGTTACATTTAAGAGTAATTTAGTCACTCAATAAAGTACATTTTCCAGACCGTGAGTAATTCTTGTACTCCTTTTCTGAAGCCTTTCCAATTTCCTGAAAGTTTCTGAAAGGGAGGATACCAGATCTGGACACCATATTCTAGCAACAATCTCACTAATGCCTCAGAGATTCACTTAACCACCTCCTGCTGTCAGCATCTGAATTACTGTTAACAAAACCTGAACACACCAGCAATGAATGCAGCATGTTCTGCTTGTGCAGAAGAATCACAGTGGGCTCAGGTAGGAAAATGATTCCAAACTTTGCTGCAACAGCTGTTGAGAACTAACCCACCCCGACTCACTCCCTACCGCTCCTTGCCCCAATGCTTTTTTATTCCATCTCGAGCATATTTTGTGGAGCTCAGTTTAAGCCACCTTCAAGATACATGAGGTTATTTAGCTGTAATAGGTGATATCCTGGCAAAGCTAAAGGAAGCTTGCACTCCATGTTCCCACTCACCCCATCCCATCCTAACCCGCAAACGCACTCTTCAAGCATGAAGAGCTGAAGCTCTGCAAGCGGAAAGCCCAGTTCTCAACTGGCAGCTCCCTTGCTCGCAATGCTCAGAATTAGATCTGAGAGATTACATTATCCTTTTCATAAGGACTTTAGATTCTTGTCTAAAAGATGAAACTATGAAATAATCTAAAACTTACTCGCAAATCCCTTTTTTGGCTGCTATGTGAAGAGGTAACAGACCATCCTTATTGGCTTTGTTAGCATCTGCACCTTGGGACAAAAGAAACTCCACAACAGCTACGTGTCCATTTTTACAGGCTTCATAAAGAGCAGAGGCATTATCACTGGCTTGAGTATTTATATCAGCACCTAGGAAGGAAGAAAATTTTTGTAGTACCAAAAAGTTAAAATCAGATGGAAGGAACATACTTTGAAAAAACATGGAGCTCCATGACACTAGAGCTACAAAATGTGCTGGACGGGGATGTGAATGAGGTCATATCAGAGGTGATACAGTCATATCAGTTATATACAGTTATATCATAGATTTCCACTGGCTTTTAATATGATGTGAATTTTACGACAGAGAGTTTAACATGGGTGGCAACCATTAGCTCCCAATCATGAATCCAGGCTCCATTCAGCTGTAGCTCAAAGCCAAAAACCAAAAGCCAAAATGTGCTGGTTTTTACGTAGCATGGCGTATTCTTTAGACACAATAATTCCATTAGTATTTATGTGTTTACACTATGTAGATACACTATTCCTGAGCAGGAGTTTGGAATAGATGATCTCAATATGTGCTCTCCAAAATTCTATGGTTATGTATTTACAATATATATTTATTTATATTTATACATATTATTTATACTCTATATATTCACATTATAAGTACCTCTATACTATTTATACTATATTTCAATTTTAGTATATATCCAGGCTAAAATAGGACTCTATAACATGACATCTGTATGGTACCAAGCAACAGTTCTAATCAGCTTTTATTTGGGCATGCCTTAGTCGATGAATATTTCATTTAAAAACTCAGCACCTGAGGCCCTATCTCTTCACTTCACAAGGGTTCAATTAGGCTCCAAATGGAAACTTTTACCAAAAAAAGAGACAGATATTATTAATGAACTGCTAGATTATTTGGGGCATTTTTTCTTGAGCTCTAGTGTGTGCTTGGCTTAATAAACAACATGCAAGAATAAACTAAGACCTAATGCTTTTTGGCCACAAACAATTTGGAATCTAGCTTTTTCTATGCTAGATATTTAAGGCCTGAAAGCTTGGGGTTTGTCTGTAATATACTGTATCATGGTGTCCTCAGGAAGGCTGCTTTATGTATATCCTAAATGGGAATGACAGTTCACTAGAGTTTTGCTTCTAAACTCCAACAAAGAAGCCAATCAATCTCCCATTTGATCATGAAAACTCTCTGCCAAAAAGAACATTTCCCTATGCTCTCACCCCAAACTGAAACATCTGTGTTGTGTTTGGCCCTTTGAAGATGTTGTAGCTGGGAACATCAGGAGAATTGCAGTGACAAAACATAACACAGGACTATGTTGCTAATGAAAAAGAAATGAAAAAGAAACCCTGTTTATGATGAACATTGCTCATCATAAACAATGTAGTGATATTTCTGGGATTCCTAGGGGAGACTTTCAGGGCTTGAAAAAACTGGGTAGTTTTATTAGATTTTCTCTAGTGTACTTTTCCCAAAATTGAACTTAAAGGAAATCCTTATAGCTATCTAAGTTGAAACACAAATTGTAGGCAGTACAATGGACTAACTGGTCATATAAAATGACTTGATGACACTAGCTGGACAGCAGAACACACTTTTTGTTCCCCAACTCTCATATCTGTCTTAGCCATACTACCTGCTTCAGAAATTTTTCATATCTTCATCAATGTTTAGCATTTGTTTCACAAGTGCAGAACCCAGCTTTTACCTACATTGAAGATATTAGCCCACAGTGAAAATAAAATATGCCTCAGAATAGAAGTAAAGTATATGTGCTTATTGTAAAGTGTTTTACATGAATGGAGCAGTGAAAGGTAGGTTTAGTGTAAACTAGAATCGAATTCACTCTGTATGCTTAAACATATACACATGGGGAGCCTGAGTCTGCTTCTCCCTGGTGTAAATCCATTAACTATACAATAGTACTTTATCCCTTTTTTTTCATTACTGGAGGAGAGATAACCTTGCCCATCACTGCACATGTTCATGAGTAGATTGGGTTGGCTAATGTTCAACTTCTGCTGTCTATTACCACCTACAGTTGTCTTTTATGACTGATTAGATTTTAGGCTACGTATGTGCAGCAATTTGAGTTTTGAAAGCTGTCAGGCAATGCAATTAAAAAGCACGATATTACTTCCCCAAGTAGGCGACCATGAATGAGTACTGAAGAAGTGCACGTGTCTAGACCATGCTCTCTGAAAGACCATACACAATTCAGCCATCTGGAGCAACAGGGTTTCAGCACCTCTGCAAGCTACTCCTTGCCTCCAGCAACAGAAAAACTGAGCCAGGGAGAGTTAATAGGAACTTTGAAATATTAAGAATTAAATGAGTAAAGGCATGTAATGGCACAACTGTACTCACCACATTTTGCGAGGTATCTCAAAGCTTCCAACTGCCCACTCTCAGCTGCCACAAATAAAGAAGTGATCCCATAGGCGTTTGCAGACTCAATTTTGGCACCTCCTTTCACAAGGATATCAATAATCTCCAGGTCATTTCGGGAGACAGCCTCATGGAGAGCAGTCCATCCTCGATTGCAACGGTGGTTGGTATCAGCATTGTACTGAACCAGGAGTCTTGCAGCCTCTGCATTCTTGCGCTCACAAGCTGTTTTGGAAAAAAGGGAAGTGATTAGGACAGGCGTTTGCAAAGATTCTGGGTGTTGTGGTATCCATTTCATGTAGCATAAGGCCATATAATACAACTAGGCCATAGTGAATAAGACTAAAGATCCATCTAGGTCAATACGAGGACCAAAGCTGTTGCCAAATGACACTGTCTGGGGCTTGTAAAGAATGTGGCAATGAAGCCAGTCTTCAACCAGGACCTGGATGAGGCTAAGTGTCCTGTGCAGGACTTGTGCCAAGCCTAGCACTGAGGGGAATCCAGCCCAGCACATTGGTACCAACTGGACACCACAGTGACACAGGGAGATGACAAGGTGCCGGAGATAATTTACAAAGAACAAACATGTTACAGAAATCACATGACATGAACACTTTCTTTCAAGATCCTGCGCAAACTGACTCTGTATCTTACTGCCCTGGACTGCAGATAAAGCTCTATATAGACAAGAAAATAAAATAGCTGAAACCAACAGTGGCCAGAAAAGGATCCCTAGAAAACAATAATGGTGTGAGTCAGTAGCACTTTCTCAGTCTGCAACAATGTGTAGTTCAGGGCTATCCTGAGCTAAAGATATTTCCTTGATAATTAATAGCATTTTGTTGATTTTTATTCTACTGATTTGTCTCATTGCTTTTTGAATCCCAAATCATGAGGCTTCTTACACACCTTTAAGGTAGGACCCCAAACCAAACGTACCTACAATAAGCAGCCACATTTACAAACCCCAGTTAGCATCTGTTGTACAATGTACAGAAAGAAAGGCCAGCACATCCCATAGCAATTGGGTTTTTTCTTTGAAATAACAGTGTGTTTTTCTCACAGAGGTCCCACCTTTTGGTTTTGATGCTTCCCTGGGATATCTCCATGGTTTCCTCTCCTAGACACAGGTGCCACTCATGTGTACTGAAAGCAACTACGTAATTAGACACTTCTGTAATTACCTGTGCATAACTCTGCAGAGTTTAATTTGCTTACATACTAGGGATGACTAACTTGTTATGATAATTTTTTCATTCTTTTTCGGTTAGAGGATAGACCAGAAGATTTTGCATCAAGACTAGCACATTCTTAGTAATAGCTTTTCTCTGGCTAAAGGGTGCTTTCATATTATTGCTGTTATTATTATTACTATGAGCACTACTACTACTACCAGTACTGTGTGTTTAATGCACAGTAGAACAGCTTTCCTTTAGCAGACTATAAGCCAGAATTTTCAAATGAAAGTATTTTAAACTAAGCAGCTCTAATGCCAGGCATCCAAAGTTGGAGGCAAGATTACTTTTATAACCAGTAATATGTGCTTTTAAATGTTTTAGAGTGCTAAAAATAGTTATGGCAGAAGCAGTCAGTCAAAGGGAGATGGACATGAAGATCTGAGAGATCATCTCCTTCTCTGAATCTTTGTGATATCATGGAGGCAATGCTGTTCTGCTAAAGAGAGTGGTCTCTCTGACCAGCAGCAAAGTAGTATGTCCATGTTAAACACTCCCATAGCACACAGCCTGGCCTGTCCCACACAGTATATGAATCACTGGCATGTCTACGGTTACAGTACTCGCACATCTAACAGTTACTTAGGTCCTATCATTTAGAAAAGCACACATATTCCTGTGCTACCCAGGTTTCCATAAGTTTGGGACATTGTGCAAACACCCTGTGCTTAGGGCTCCACTAAGCATCAGACACCCCACCCTCAGCACCATGCTGCAGCCTGCAACCTGCAGGGCAGCCACTAATCCTGTCTCTGAAGGGTATGAGAAGAAAGGCCATGGCATGGCAGGTCAGACATAGGAGACAGAGGACTACTGGAGGGAGGTAGAAAATGGGAGCTAATTGCCGAGTTTCAGCCCCGCATCACAAGTAATCCTGCAGCTCTGCCTTGGCTGTGCCAGAAGAGCTCAGCATCCCTGGAAAAGCAGCCACTCACCTTTGTAGAGTGGTGTTTCTCTGGCCTTGTTGGAGATGTCGGGCTCGGCCCCAGCCTGCAGCAAGGTGAGCAGGCAGTCCAGGTTGCCCCGGCTGGTGGCCAGGTAGAGAGCTGTCTCCTCATTGAGGGTACGCTGGTCAATTGTGCCAGGGTACGCTGTGAAGAAACGGTGAGCCCAAAGTCATTATGGCATGTAGTGTACAAGTATCTACAGCATCATCACCTTTCAAAATCCTTGGAGTTTTAGGTGAGTTTTTGTTATTTATTTCTTTTGTGTACCTTTTTCATGAGCAAAGTAAGTTAAGAATATACTATGAAGTTACTATAACTCAGATTAAGTATCTAAATCAGTCACTGGCTTAGATTAAAATGTTCAGTTATGGCCACTAGCGATGCAGAAAGCTGCTGAGTAACTGTTCTTCAGTAGCAGTTTGAAAACTAACTACAGTAGTTAGCCACCGTCAAGCACCAGCAAAGAAGTGCTGGGCTGGATCTCCAGCTAGTGGGAAGTGGGGTAATTGCTGTCAGCTGTGGCAGCCCAGCAGCTCACAACAGCCGAGAGCTCAGCTATAGGGCTTTACCGTGAGAAATCCAGGGCTTGGCAAGATCTATCCAGATACCACTTTCTCCTAAAGATCCTAACTTTTAGAGGCTTCAGTCTAGAAACTTATTCTCAAAGAGAAGGTGAGATTAATATACACTCGGAGAGGTTGGAAAAAACTTCATATACAGTCCCAGACCAGAATTGGACTGCTGTTCATTCTACTTTTTAGTTTATTTATATTCTTCTTCTCCCTTTTGTAATGAATTAGTTTTAACTTCACTGACCTTTTTGCAACAGACTCAGGCAACCCACTTGGCCATAGTATGCAGCTTCATGGAGGGGTATCCAGCCATCCTTATTAGGTTCAGAAAGGTTTTTTCCTGATTTCATCATGTTGCATACTGCTTTTTCATCTCCATCCTTGATTGCTGCCACTACAGGGTCAAGTTCTCTTTAAAACAAGATTAAAACTTGATTATTGCGTCCTTCATTACTGAGAAGATTTTTGCAGCAACATCACTGTATCATTTGGCCAAAACAGTGAACCCCTACAGCCTATATATTTGTGGCCATAAGGTGTCTTGCTACAGGCCCTGTAGAGGTAAAATTTGTCTGCTTTAATTTGGCCATTCACAACAGATCAGAAGAATCACTGTCCGGAGGTGCTGATCTCTTTCCTCGGAGTGTAAGGAAAGTGTAGGTGTGACTAACCTCTGACATAAACACTTATATTTTAGATATCTGGATTTGGGGGAGACTAGCTCTACCCTTGCTTTGTACAAGGCCATGAGTGTCCATGGTTGTGAGAATTACATCACCCTGCCATTTGCTGTCCCATGTGGCAAAGTAAGATCAGTTTGAAGAGAATTGCCCCTGTTCTTTCCTGAAGAAAATTTTAAATTTGATTTTCAGGTGGTTTAGCTCTAAAGCAGAATTTCTTAATAAATCTTGTTCTTGTATTGTAAAGATATGTCCTATTTCTTTTATGCAAGCCTGTTTTCAGAAGTTAGCTGGTCCAGTTTTGAAGAAGGGAGAACTCTACTTGGACCGTGTGAACATCAGGGTGTTGGTCTGAGCTCTTCTTTCTTCAGCCAGGAAGGATTAAAAAAAAAAAGTCCAGTCACCCAAATGAAATTCTGAGCTGCCCTTCATGACCATGCCCAGAGATCCCCAGCTGTTATTTCAGCATTAAGTACTCAAATTTTCAGAAATTATAATTACTTTGGACATTATAGACCTTCAAAAATGTGTCTTTGGTGTCCCAGTAAGACATATTACGTGCTGGACACTTCTGAAAATTTGGTCTTTAGAAGCTTCCTTGGGAACAGACCCAATAGGACCCATTGACAAGGCCACTCTTGCAAATCTCTTGGCCAAGTTAGCAGTTCCCTGAGTAACTGCAACAGTCAGGGGCCTCTGGAACCACAACTCAGACCTGGTGCCAAGCTGTGAAGTGGTTTGTGTTCTGGTCAATTTGAACCCAGCAAACCACTGTCAGGCTCCACAGGGCCAAGCAAGTAACTTCGAGGTGCAAGGAATAAAGAAATGAAAAAATATTAGGGAGGGAGGGAGAGAATATTTTCAAGCCTCTTCAGAGTGGAAAGTCATTGAAATGTGTAGAATCACTGAAAAGTGTTAAAGTAGTATTTCAGTTTTTACCAGAGAAAACAAAAACAACATGAAAGTAATCTTTTTTTGGTGCTACCTAATTCTGAAGCTTTCAAGAACAGGCTCACTGTGAAAATCTACAAAAAGCATGAAGTGTGCTCCATGCCACCCAGAACTGAGACACAACGAGCAGCCTACAAGCGAGCTTTGCTTTGCCAAGCCTTCCCTTTGCCAAGCATGCATTCTGCACAGTCTGGGCAGCAACCCATTTCTCCAAGCTGTGTATGAGCAATTGCAGAGCAAGCCTGACCTGGACACATCAGTCCCTCTGCAGAGGAACAGCAAAAGTTGCTGTAGGACTCCACGCACCGTGGGAGTCACAACGCTGCCCGGCAGTCACCGTACCACGGATCAGCAGTGCCTGCAGCAGGGCCTGCCTCCCTCCTTCCATCCTAGCTGAGACTGCTGGCAGCGCAGCAGAGGCAGGGAGCTGGTACCCTGCAGTCAATGCAGGCAGGATCCTTGCCCGTGGCAGACAGTGGCTCTGTGCATGAGGGTGTGCTGTGCCTTCCAGCGCTAGCATCTGCTCATGCTCCTGCTGAGCTGTGCTGGGAGGAGGCAGCCACTGCTTCCTTATTCTGAGGCACCAAATTACTAAGCTCCAGGACAGCAAACACTGCAAAGGAGGAAGCATTTTTCCAGTTCTCATGAGGACTTGCAAAAAATGAACGTGGGCTATATTTTCAGAGACAGAGGACAAGAGGATGTTGAAAATATAGGAGAGTTTGTGATTTGAACTAAATCTAAAGAGAAAATCTTGCAGCCTTGAAGGCAGAGAGACTGGGGAAGGAGGTTGGTGCCTCAGAGACTGTTAGCATCACCAGGGTAGGAATACAGCATGTGATGAAGGTCATGCAGGGCAGTGACGATGGGAACAACCAGAAACTCTTGTTATGACAGGAGGTCTAAAATGCCACAACAGAGTGAGATCAGAGACAGAAAAATATGGGCAGCTCAGCACCGGAGTCCTCAAAAACCAGATCATTGGTACAACCTCTGCATTCGGTGCAAGTTACAGGAGCAGCACTGGATTTCATTGCCTTGCAGGGGCTGCAGACCAACAGCCTGAAACTCACATAGGAGTCATTAATTTCAGCTTGCCTAGAGGTACCCAGTGTGTGCCATAAACACTGATATTAGCACTGAAAGAAAAGTCACCAAGCTGCCTCTCTGAGGGCAAACTCAGGGTCTGGAGCAGAACAGGTGAACCCGACATTTGTGCCAAGGAATGGGAAAAGACACCATTTCCCAGGTGAAAAAGTACTTAGTGCCATTTGCTCCTTCTCTATAGCTGGAAGCAGTGATCTCAAGACAGCAGAGTTACAAAAACAGCGACTCTGGAACGGGGGG